TAGTACAATTTATTTCTAAACCGTTTAAAATTTTTAGAAGAAACATTGTAAATTTTTTAATTTTTGATGATTTAAACAAGCAGTAAATAAAACGTAACAACTCTGCTCATCCTTCCGATGACACATATAAATATAATTTGCACCTGTATACTCAGCTTATTTCCTAATTTTTTATTTTAGTTTGGTAATAAAAAACTTATACGTCTATTCTTTTTTTAATAAGAGTATAGATATAATAAACTATATTAATAAGTTTTCGAAAATGAAAATGGCATTAATACTAAATATTCAAGTGTACTTATGTATGTCATTCGCTTTTTTACATACTGAAGGGACAAATAATAAAAATAAAAACGCGGTTATCATAAATAATTTTCTACGTCAACCAGGATGGAATAATATAAATGATGTCGAATTAATTATGTATTGGGGCAAAAACTATGAACTGAAAGATTTATTTATTAAACCTGTAACATTATATAATTGCGATAATTGCATACGGCAAGCAACGATATTCCTTGAATGTTCTTACGTTCATGATTTAAATTTAATGATCTTATCATTAAATAAATTTCAAGAACATTGTACTTATCTTTTAATTTCTGGTGATGATAGTGCGCACAATTGTAAAGTCACACTTTTAACAAAAATAATTGAAATTGTTCCGATGGCAAAATATATGAAAGGAGCTTTTTATGCAATAGAAAAATATCATACTATTCCCTTGAACACCCAAAAAAGAACTCGTTTTATTTTAAGCAATCTACTTACAAATATACAGGAAAATGAAACTTTATTCTCTACGTTGAGAACCAGTTCGGATTCAATAAAAGATGCTTTGAAGACTATCGTGAATACATTATTCGAATGGCGTTATGAACTTCATGAAGATAAATCATTTTGTATTCTAAAAAACTTAATTTTTAATTTATTATGGAATTTATGGTATATGGAATTTGATACATTAAGATATCAAGGAAAATACCAAGAACTTTTCATTTTTCTTAGTGATAAAATTAGAAATTTAATTTTAAACACATTTACGAAAAAGTATATTGAACTTGGATTTAAATATGAGTCGTCCACAAGTCAGACATTTTTACCTACTCTACCACTTACTAATGTCAAACAAGGTATAAATATTTGTACAATGTAACATTTATTTGAAATAATTTGTTGTTAACATATTTAGATATCGCGCAAAATTCTTCTAAAAATTATATACAAAATACCAATGAAGTACATGCGCAAGAAGAAATTCAGCAAAATGGTAAAGTTTCTCTAATACTTCATAATACCACTATTTTTTAATCTAAATAAGTTTTAAATTGACCTAATAACCATTTTAATATGTTAACCAATAATATAGAGACAAAGGAAGACATAAAACAAGAAAGTAATAATTTTATAATACACAAAAATACTTTTATTTATTAATAATTTGTCCATAATTTATGGAAATATATTTACAAAATTTACCCAGCGACATGTACGAAAGCCAAAATAATTTAAAATCACATTCTATACATAATAATTATGAAACGCTTTAATTGTATGAACTAGTTTTAGTTAATAAAATAAGTATAAATTGTTATAGAAAAATGGTAACAGACACAAACAAAAAATAAAAAACTCATCATGGGGGAGGGGTCGCGGCACAGTGATGACGTGTATAGTTGGATCAAGTATAATGATATCTGACAGTGATTAAAATTACTATTAACTTTCTATAATTAAAAATATTACATTAGCTTTAATTTAAGATATACATAAATGTGTCAGACATTACGGAACACTTTCAAAAGTTAAGTTGAAAAAGTTGTTATTTTTAATCCACCCCTGTAGGCAGGTAAATGGTCAAATTTATAAAAAAAAAATATACTTAATAATAAGTTAAAACATCAAGCATCTATAAAAAAAAATTATCTTGATTTGATCATTTATGAAAAAGTTATGGCAGTTTTAAAAAC